TTTTATATAAAATACTTCTGCAGTATATAGAGCATAAGAATCATTTCTTTAGCAGACACTGCAACCTGCTTGAGGAGCCTCCATCCCCATTAGAGGCTCTTTCCAGAAGAAGTGATTTCCTTCTCTATATAAATTATGCATCAATGTACATTTAAGATTCTGAAATGATGAACAGGAGATGAAAGCGTTGCAGAGTGCTGCTGCTCCTGTGGAGCTGAATCCACGACATTGTATACAGGCTCGAACACACCTTGTTAAGACAAACCTGCACGTGTTACTGTCCTAGTACTCCAGCTGTAAAAGTGTGGAGACAGCAGCTTATCTCACTTCTCCAGCCTCAGCTCTGGAAGACTTCCTCTCCTCTTGGAAGGCAGTGAGGGGAAAGATTGCAATGTGTGTCCAAAGTGGTCTTCCCAGATGGACTCTGCCAGCCGGAGCCAGGGTGAGTCCTGGTCTCTTTTGCTCCTGACGTGTCCGGAGACCTTCCAGAGTTGCAGGTTGAGATCTGCAGGTGTTAGGACATGCACAGTCCGTGTGGCCTTACCCTAAAGCTGGCAACACGCACAGCTTCGGGGTTGTAAGGGACTTAGATGATCTAACGGGAAAGGCAATTCAGTTAGCTAAACAGGAGTTGAGATAAACAACTAGCACTTCCAAACTGAAATAAGGATATGACATTTTGAACCTCAAGTGTGTGATGGCTGAGCAGTGTGAAACGCGTTGGCTGAGCTGGAACTACTCTGTACAGCAGCGGGGGCAGGTCAATGCCGAGTGGCTTGACTGACTTCAAACTCAGAGTCGTATCTCAGCGTATGAATGAAGTTGTTGGCTTCTGCCACAAAAATGCACATGCATATGTATAAAAATAAATTTAAAAAAATCTTTTTTAGCACCGGTGAGGTTTTAAAGTGCCTTTGCACAATCTGCCTTTGGCGTGTGGTTTCCATCTAGTGTAACGGGGGTAATAAAGGGGCACGTACACTTTCTGGGGAATGGATATTAAATATATAATGTAATTATGTACTGAAAAAATTAAAAATAAGGCTTTCAGATTATACATGGCCTGTGGAGGAAAATGATGAATGTGATCAAATGTACATGTTTATAAAATTAAAAATAAGGCTTTCAGATTATACATTTATTTAGAGCAGAATTTTGTGCTGCTACCACAGTTGAAGCTAAATGTGTGCACCCCCATGCAGGTTTATACAAAGCTGTATGGGGAGTGTCCTTTATGTTTTGTCACGACAGAGAGTACAGGGAGAATTTTTAAGATCACCCTTGGAATCTGAAGGTGGCAAATGAAAATTAATAATAATTCTTGAAAGGGAAAATTTTGGGAGCTTTATGCAAAACTGTTGTATACCACAGATGATTGTATAAAAACTGAAGGATGCACCTTGCAATAAGCCTGTGTTCCTATAATGCCCGGTGCTGTGGGAACCGATTCCAGACCGGAGTGCTGCGGAGTGTTTTGGGGCAGGTCAAGCACTACTGTGGCATTTGAGATGCAGTGAAACAGGAACAGTGAAATACCTCCAAGTATTTCCTACCTGGCGTCGATGAACCTGCATTTATTCTGTATTTCTTCCATGGTCACTTAAAATGGCAGTGGAGCATCCCAAGCACTTTGCACTGTTTGCATCACATCTGGTGATGGCTGCCAAGAGCTATGTCTTTGCATAACTGTGGGTGCATCTTTGTCCCTTTGAGTTTTGCTTTAAGGTCTGGTTGTTCACTTCTACCCAAGTTGACCCAACTTCTGAGTTTCCTCTTTGAAGAAAGTAGTGCCACGTGGTACCTTCCTTTTCTCTTCTTTGACAAAGTTTTCTTTTAGAGAGAGAATAGTTTTTGCTTTTTGAATGCAATATCCACCCTAAAAGAACCTGTGTATTAAAGCAGGCCATTGAGCCTTTCATCACTTCTCTGGGTGATAGCAGTCATGAATTTTTTATTTTCTGCAGGGCTCACTCCAGATCTGCCACAGCATTGTGTGGGTGCACACATGTAAAAAGGCTACTAATTGAAATTCAGATGTAACGAGATGAAGTTTTGCTATTCACCATGACTGCTTTTTGTTTTAGCCCTTGTACACTTAGTGCACTTAAACAATGCAGCCATTGCTTCTCCTTTTAGATTCAACAAGAATAACTTAAAAGGCAAGAAATATTTCCGTGACTGCTCAAGAGATGAAATATGTTCCCCCCCACCCCCAAATGGGAATGGCGTGTGTTAGTTTCTTTATTTACTACTTGTGGGGAGAGACAGAGATTTTGATGGAACCGAAAAGAATATAAAATAGAAATCTTGCTGCTATAAACTGTTCCCTTTTGAAGATGCAAATGTGTTTCTATTGCCTAGGTAACTATTATGGAACACCCAAGCCTCCCAGCCAGCCCCTCAGTGGGAAAGTGACTTCCACCGATGCTTTGCAAAACCTGCAGTCTGGCTCCAAGCAGTCGACTCCAAAGCGAACCAAGTCTTACAATGATATGCAAAATGCTGGCATAGTGCATACGGAGAATGAGGAAGAGGATGATGTACCTGAAATGAGCAGTAGCTTCACAGGTAAAGCAGAAATATCGCGGGCCATCAGTTAGGATACATGGGGAATGTTTTTAGAGTGGGATTTTTCAGAGGTTTTGTTTTTAATGGATTTCCTGCAAAGCTGTCAATCCCAGACAGAACTGGCCAGCAACACCTGAATGGTGTGACAATCACACACACAGTTGTGTCTTCTAAAAAGGCTTATGGGTTTGAGCTGGATGAGAAAAAAATGGGGAGAAGCTCAAATCCATTAGTCACAGAAAGTTCAAGGAAGAGTTAAGCTATGGCTAATAGTTGTAAACAGTATGGAATGGCTCAACCAAGATTACATTTGAAATTAATTATTACTCCTTCCTAAATATGTTGCTGTCCTTTCCCCTTACTTGCATCTAGAGATACTTGTCACACACAATTGCTAGGTACTCTTCTCCAAGGTACCTTCTAGCGAATTGAGGGCTGCTTTCTGCGGGAATGAGGTCTGAAGCATGGGTACAAGCTCTTTATTTTGTGAAGGCCTTGTGTACTGCTGAACACAGATCTTGGTCCCACCGTGGCTACTATCAAGCATTGGCTGAAAGATCACTGGAAACTTTTGCAATCTAAAGTGCTGCGGAGGCAGATTCAGAGCAAAATGCTATTGGAGATTGGTTGAGTCTCCACAGAAATCAACTGTATGTGAAGGTTGTGAAGCTCTGAGGAGCAGGAGCTCTTCTCCCTGTCTGTAATTGTAGCATTTGTTAGTGCTTAGAGCATTAGTTCCTCGGCTCAATTTCAAGCACTGAATTCATCTTCCTAGCTTCCTTTGAGCTAGGTACTTAACAAGCAGCATTATCCACACCTTCAAACCTTTCACAGGTGCTTGCTGTGGGTGTTCACCATCACTGGCACTTTGTCCTCTGGTCACTTCCTACCACCATGACAATTTTCCTTCCCAGCCTCTGATGAGTCATAGGAGCTGTCATGCCAGATCCTACATGCCAAAGTCATGGTTCTAACATCTGTATAGAGCTTTAAAAAGATTTAGGCTGAAATTTTGTTTTGGCCTTGTCTGGACCAAACTGTCAAATGGCTTTGAAGGTTGTGCTCTTTTGGCTGTTACCTGTCACATGTTTCTAACCCAAATCACTCCTGGTTGGCCTAATGCCTCCCAGGCTGGAGTTTCTGCCTCTGCTTACTGGCTCCTTTACAAAGTTTTGCACGGAGGATAGTTTCTTAACGTGTTGTGACATGGCAGCAACCTCAGCCTTTGTCACAGGATCTGATTTTGGGAGGAAGCTGGTGGGAGATGCTGTTTGACCTCCTTGCTGCCCATCTCAGTTTGGTGCCCCTGAAATAACTCGAGCATCATTTCCCTTCCTTGTTTTCTTTCACAAGATGAAATGCTGGAAGATGCAGCTCATTTGTCACAACATTGTCACACCTTGGCCCCTTGCCTCCATTAAATGGGCACAGAATCAAGAAAAGAGTTATTTCTCGTATACCAAAGTGATTCCTTATGCTTATTTCACATGTAAGTGTGCTAGCCATATTAAAATGCTCCAGCCTCCTTAGAAGACCTCTGGGTGACTTGTGTTTTCCAGACTTTGGCATGTTTACCCTCTCAGTCTTAAGCTGGCGATGATTCATTCATGCTTCTTTATCTTGTCAGCTTCTACCTAAAAGTACTGAATGCCAGGAAGACTAGAAAGCAGGCAGCTGAGGATACTGGTAGAGTCTAGATCTTCCCTCTTCTCCCACTTTATTATTTTCAGTATCTTGTCTTTTTGTAATGGCAGCACACAGACTAGAAATAGTGCAGGAGCTGCAGGTAATGCACCCCCCCAAAAAAAAACCAAGGCTGTGGGCTGTGACTTGAGGGGGTCTGTGGTCTCTGGTCTGGAGAGCAGAGGCAAGGTCTTGGCTGTGAAGCCCTTTTAGTTCCACTGCTTGGGGACTTGGCAGAGCGTGACACTGATCTCTCTGTCTTTTGCTGAGTGTGTTGCCTGCTTTGTGTACTGGAGACTGGTGATCTCAGGTAATTTGGAAGTTTTCAACACCTGCAAGAACCAAACAGAGAAAATCCCTTTGGTAGACACAGGAGTAAATTTAGAATTTGTCTGTTGTTGCCAAAACCCCTCTGTGAAGGCATTAGGGGCACAGACCTGGTTTTTGAGAGCATTTACTCTGATTAGGGGTGGAGGGAATGAGCAGCACTGTTTCGTGGATACAACTCAAAACTGCACAGATATAACCGTCAGAAATGTTTCCTTAGAGGGGTAAGGGCCAGATCGTCATCAAATATTCCTGTGTGACTTTGGCTGGAAGGATACAATGATGAGCTGTGGAATAAACCTCCTCAGATAACTGCAGCAGGCACTAGTGAGAAGCACTAGTGGACACATGGTGTAGTGCTGACGTTCATTTTCATTTTTAATTTAAAAGAACACACTGCACTAAAGACATTCACCATTAGCTTGTTGACTTTGAGCTTCTGGCTACCTTCTGCACTTGTAAAAATCTCCCCTTTTGATCATTCTTCAAAAAGGAAATTTTGTTCTCCTAATCCCTGTCCCACTATTGGCACTGCAGGAGTGAACCTATAAGCCTGCTCAGAAGCCCATTGATCTCATCTACATCAGTGAGCCCTGGCCTCAGATAGCTTGGAAGACTTTGGTACCTCAGCAGGGCCTATTAGAGCGAACACAGTAGCTGATCACAGCTTCTGATTTGCGCTGGCAAGGGTCTGGCTGGCAGAGTGTGTGTGGGCAAAGCAAGCTCGTCCCTGCTGGCAAAAAGACTGCAGAGTCTCTGCCCTCAGTTCATCTGTTGCTGTGTCTTGTGAATTAAAAGACAAGGAGAGGAAAAATGTAACGATAAACCCAGAGAATAAAATGGGAGGAGAAAAAGACTGATTTTCAATTTTATCTGTGCTTGTTTATTCTACAGCAGAGTCTGGTGACCAAGACGACCATAATACACATATCGTAAGAGAGACAGCCCCACCATCCGCAATTGATAGCCACACCAACGTTCCCACCACGGAACCATCTCAGAACCTCCCTCAATACCTACCTCCTTCTGCCGAGGATAACCTAGGTCCTCTGCCGGAAAACTGGGAGATGGCCTACACCGAGAATGGAGAAGTCTATTTTATAGAGTAAAGCACATTTCTGGTGTTCTAATTCCAACTCTTTCCCTCTCCCTCTGGGCATACGTAAACCTCCATGGATGCATTTTGTGTGTGTATGTGTATGTATTAAATATTTAGTGAATACAGTTATGTTGCAGAGCTGTAAGTTCTTTACTGCTTCTGAAGAGGTTTTGCATTTCCTGATTGGTTTAACATCCAAATTACTCCAGAGTTCAAAGGCAGAGGGAATTGCGTGTTTTATGAGGGTAGTTACAAAAGCAACAGACTCTTATAAAATACGGGCCAGTTGTTTTCATGGGTGGAATGAAAGCTCCTAATTGAAAGGGCTGAGACTTCATTTCTGGAGCCTGCCTCTCTGCATAATGCAGCAGTGAGAATTCCTCTGGTCATGTGCTCAGGCAGTAGCAGAGCCAGGGAATGGACTTTATGTGTTGTCCTCTCATCAGAGCAGATGGGCCAAACGTTTTAACATGCTCCAGTGGTTTGCAGAAGACATGGCTCAGTGCAGAGTAGGCACAGTAAGTTTGGAAAAGAAGTACCTCGTGCTCTGTAGTCTTTGCCTGAGAGCGGAGTGCTGTCAGCAGTTTTATGATGATATTGATTTTTTCATGCCATAAATAATAGTCTCTAATTATACTTGTCTAGATTTATTGAGATAGGAGTAACTTATAAAATGGGACCTGTTAGTGGAAGAGATTTCTTGCACAGAGTTTAGCTAGGCATTATAATTCAATTAGCTTTTGAAACTCAAGCACTTCACTGCTTAAGTGGAGGAGGGGGCGAGGAATTGATTTTGGATTTGATGGCCTGTTTAATGCCGTCTTGGAAACACATGAGATCCTCTGCTTGTGTACCAGAAGCCAGTGGCCAGTTAGTACAGAAGATCCTCCTCTGCTAATGCATCTTCTAGTACTCCAGGGAATTATGCTGGATTAGGGCAGTAAGGGGAGCTGTCCTGCTCCGTCATCAGGAGAGGGGACTTCTGGACAGGGACAAGGAAAGGTTTATCAGAGATGTTCCCTTGGCTGCAATGGCAGGGGAACACATCAGAGAAGAGTACCAGAAGATCTGAGGAGCTGGGAGGACTGAGAGCACCGCAGCAGCTCTTCACCAGCTGGGAGAGGGCTGCTGTAAAAAAGGCCATTTTCCAAGGCACTCTCAATTACCTGAAGAGGCTCCACTAACCCCCTAGTGTAAGACAAAGTCTGGAAGGCACAATGCAAATTCTCATCAGCGGTATATCAGATGAAACTGAAATGTGTTCATTATCCCGAACATGGTATTCTGCCCCTCGTTATGTCCTCAGGGTGCCTCATTCTTCGACGTACTTTCTGCCTTTAGTCTGTATAACACAGCCTCAGTAATAGCCCATCTAGCCTGCCATTTTCCTCCCTGGAGGAGGACAGACGGTGAGCACTAAATGCTGCCCAAGCAGCTGGTTGCTCGCTTTTTTGTCCCCACATGGGCCCCTGCTGTCCTGCCTTACAGGCGCTTCAGCCAGGGGTTCTGCTGCTGCCACCGATTTCCCCAAAACCCATCCCCATGGCTGCTATATTCTCTATGTGTGTGTGTTCTCTTAGCAATGCAGGACTGTAGCACCTTCAGTAATTTGTTAGATCTTTTGCAGGAGAATCATACATGTGGTGGAAAAATGTAGCCTGCATACACAACTGTCTGTCTGATGTGAAAATCTGGTAGCACACCAACTGCTTCCTTCCCTGCAGTGCAGACTGACCATTTTGAGGATACATATGCATAGGGGGTGATTTTGTGCAAGAATGTGTTAGTGTGGATGCAGCACTGAATGACTGCAGTTCTATTAATTCTAAGGACACCCTGAGCTTAGAAACAATTTAGTTTGATTTGTATCAAATTAAGAGAGCAAGCTAATGAGCTGTGTGGACCCAAGCTGGCTCAGATGTCTGTACCGTCATCTACAGCACTTTGGGTTATCAAGTCAGGGTGCTGGAGGGAACAGTATGGGAACATCTGAGCTGCTCGTACAGAACCAGCACAGGTCCAGTGGGGCCAGAACCGCATGTTGGATAACTGATCCTGATGGCTTGTAGCTGAAGCAGTTTGGCTCTTGAGATATTCTTCTCTGATGCTTTAATTGGGATTTTCATTACACCAAGTATCCCAGTCTCTCGTTACCCTGCATGTAGATTTGTGTACGTTACAGGTCTAACACAATCCTGTCCCTCTTGAGTGTGTGATCTGAAAGGTGTTGAGCTAAATTTTCTGTGCCTCAGCAAACTACACTGTTGTGAGCCTTTGGGTAGCAAGACAAAGTTGCAAGAAATATGCAAATATTCTATTGCTCTCCTCCCACCGCCCTCTTTCTCAGCTAGACTACAGGCTTTCTTATTTATAGTTGGCAGAACCCCTCTGCTTTATTGCTATTAATTTGCCTGACTTGCTGCATTTCTGCCATTCAGTTTTCTAGTTGGCGATTAATTGCTCTGAAGGATACAAAAGGATTAAACATATTTGCTCGTCCTGCCTTGGGAGGGCTAGGTAGTAGGATGTGTAAAACAACGACCTCTTATTTACACACTCGGATCTTAGGAGCAGGGAGTTCCCTCTTCTTGCAGTAGAATATAAGTTTGCTGGTCGGTTGTTAGTTCCTCAGGGATCATAGCCCTCATTACAGCATTTCCAGCTTCATAAGACTGTTGTGAGGCTAAGGTTAAGTTTGTAAACCCCTCTGAGACCTTGAAGGAGAAGTAAATAGCATTACTACGGTATTGAAACTTAAAACTGTTAAGCAGTGCTAAAGGCTAAGCTAGAGAAATGATACCTTAGGGACTGGAGGGATATCTTTGCAGGTTATGTCTGAGATGACATCAGCTTGTAGAAGAGGCATTATATTACAAGATTGTCTGTGTATGGAAATGAAATGATGGGAGAAAATAATTTCTAGAAAAATGTATTTTAAGCCTGTTTACTATGCAGCCTTCACCGCTGGGACTGGCACCATGATACTGTCAGGGGACTTGTAGAAAGGAAGAGTTGAAAGTAAAGCTGTTGAACTTCCATCAAAGGCTTTGACAGAACACTTTTATTTGTATAATTAAAAAGTTTTCACTGGAAATGTTGTTATTGACTAATGGTTGTGTCAAAGCTAGACAAACGTCAAAGGTCTTTTACAGGAACAAAGATCACTGCATGGTTTAGGGAGGAAGGGACACTTCTGTCTTTTCACCAGGAGGCAAATGGCTCAGAGGCAGCTCCTGGAATTGAGAAACAAACTACCAAAGATAAAAGTTTGGAAATTAATATTATAATATTATAGCTTTCACATGCATCTTTCCAGTCAGGAATGCTGATTTATGTATTTTCACTTTTCACCTTTGTGTTTTCAATGCCAAGATTCTTGTGATTTGGTAAACTTCTTTGCAAAACATCGAATTGTAATGCCATTTCCTCTGAAGAAAAAGTATGCCTTTGGGTCTGTTGAATAATAAAGAGGATATATACTTTTATGTCACTGATACTTCAGCTCTGCTTTATTAACAAAGGTCATATTTCCATTTTTGGTTTCCAGCCATAACACAAAAACAACATCTTGGCTAGATCCACGGTGCCTGAACAAACAGCAGAAGCCTCTAGAAGAATGTGAAGATGATGGTAAGAGACTGAAAATAGTGAAATAATAATGTGTTTGGTCCATTTCCAGGTGGCTTTCTTCCTTTCCTTTTCCCCTTTCCAGTAACCTGTGTTCAGAAATCCTTTTTTTTTTTTTAAAAAAAAAAAAAGGTTTATTAGTAAGTGCATAGAGACAATATCCATTATGTTGTTGTAAAATCACTGTCTGTGTATGTAAAATAGCCATTGAGATGGCAGATCGTTTAATAAAAATCAATGAGGTGCTAGAAGTAAGAGGCCTCTGATTTTGCAAAGGCATTTGAATAGTCACTAATGCTGAACGAGACTCAAAGCTTTCTAAGATGTTTGCTCCTTGGATTGCTGTGTAGGAGGAAAGCGACTGAGTCTCTGTGGGCTTCACTGTGTTATGCTTCAACCACCTGCTTTACATGAATTCAAGGAGTTATGTTCTTACTTGCTTGTTTGAGCAGAAATAACTCAATTGCTTCACCTCTACTGTTAAATTCTGACAGTCCACTTAATGTAATGATTGCTGAAAACAAGTTCCGTTTGAAAGTGTAGATTTTTGCCACTGAAAATTTACACTGATGTAATTTTGTATTCCTTGAGATGTTGGAAATGCAAGCCACTGTCCAATTTAGAGCAGCCAAGTGCAGGACTGTTAAAGGAGGTTGTTTCCCTGCATCCTTTAGTTGATGCTGGAAGAAAAAGGGAATCGTGATGAAAGTAACTTAAATGTTTGGGAAAACCTGCATGGAAATTTTGGTCTACAGACCAGGAAAGGTGATGGTGTTCTAATGCATAATTTTGGCTAACACAATGCTGTCATGGTAGACATATGTTAAAAATGGAGGGATTTGCTTCATCAGTGTTGGTCCTTTCCTTGTAAAATTAGTTTTCGTAGTGTGATTAACCTCCTGCTGGTGTGAGTCAACTCAATAAGAATTGTGATTTTATTTTGGAAAAGAATCAGCTCGGTTCCCTTTTACTGGTAGGTTCAAATCTGGCCTCCAGAACTGCTGTGTTTATTTTTGCACACGCGGTTTTTCAACCTCAGCTTCCTTTCACGTGTGAGATTTTGCAGGATGTGAGAACTTGCCTGTGCAGCTTTTGCTGCTGTGGTGAAGCAGGTCACCAACTTCCTAGTGCACGGTGCAGCACAACCCTGAACCACAAGGATGTGCAAAGCTCAGGCAAAAGCTGAGCATTCTGAGCTGACGCCTGCTTCAGATCCTTAGCAACTGGCATCATTTGTTAGGGAGCTTTGCTCTTTCAGAGGGTAGTTTTCCCTGAAGCACAACTTCTGTCCTGGCTGTCTCTACCGGCAAGACTCCCACTACATCGATAGCCCCAGTGATGCCAACAAGTGGCATGTACTGCTGTGGGTCAGCGTGCCCCACGCCGTGCTCTGAGCCAGGGCAAGGAGCAGCCAGTAGGATGAGTCAGCAACGGGTGGCTGAGCTCCTCTGTTAAACAGTATTAAGTCTCCTTGCAGAAGGGAAAGTCTTTCTCTTGTCCTCTTAGCAATTAGAAAACAAACGTTGGAATAATTTATTTTATTGGGATTAGAAACATACCTCTAGTATTTTTGTATTTAATTAAATTCATAGTTTTGCAGAGTCGTAGCATTTTCGTTTATCAGGTCCTTAAAATCAGCTGATTTCATCTTCCCCCACACCCCTTCACTTCATTCACTGAGTTGCTCATTAATGAATATTTTTAACTTTCAGTAGTTAAACTAGTTGCTCCATAGGTACAGCAGTGCACTGCGCTGTTTTGCTTGGCTGCTGGGATCTTGCTTTGCACAGAAGACGAATTCTATTTCAGAAAACAGTGTGAGCACAGAGGAGAGAAGGTTATTTTTACTACGTCATAGAAGCTGTCCATTCTTGGCGATGTTGGATGTGTTTCCACTGAAGTCAGGGGGATTCCTGCTCTGTTTTATTTGTTGTGTGTTTGTGTGCTTGAGTTTTCAGGCTGGATCCCATCCTGTTTGTGGTCTTTTTATAAATGTTAGACGCAGTTTCAAATTTGTTTGGGTGCAGTTGCTTTGTGTTTTTTCTTCATCAGGATATGTGTCCCTACAAGTTTTTGGTTGTTTCCAGTTGTTTAGGCTATCAAAGGAAATTGCAATTCATATTTCATGCTAATGGTCCTGTTTTGGTAGACTACATTTGTATTGCAAACAGGTCGTGGAAGTGGTTTTTTAGGTGTCCCAATTTTCGAAACCAATGCTGTGACACTACATCTGTGGCTTATACTCTACTGTATTAGGTCCAAGATTGTTTTTACCATCTTTGTTCTGGTTTTGTCATCATCTTTCATTTTCAGACTGCATTATTATTATTTATAGGCTAAGCAATACTTTAATCATCTGTGTCACTGTTAACTTATGAATATGGAGCAGATAATGATAAATGGAGCAACAGTGAATATTGATGGCTTTGTGTCTTTGAAAAATTATGTGATCTTTGTCCCAGGTGCCCTGCTAAAAGTGGTACATTCCTGTATATGCCTCACCAGCGCATCTGGACTTCAGTGTGGGCCTGCGCCTCCAGTTAAACAAGGCGCTTCACTTTGTGCCTATCTTAAATCATCTGAGTAGTTACAGTGAAGTCAATTGGACCTTGTATGCACATAAATTTAGGCACTTTCTTGAAAACCTTGCTACATTAGTTCTTATTTAGATGCAAGGTTTTCCTCTCAGATTTCTTCATTAGTATTCAGGTCTGGCCTTCTGATAGATCTGTTTGTCTGCAGAATGGATTGTGAAGGTCAGACCATACAGATCTGAGGGAGTAGCTTCACTACGGTGAGAACAACACAAATGTGTTACTTTGCCGTATCAAACCGTAGCATGGACGTGGTCAATTGGTACAAGTATTTTGAGAATGCAAGAACCAGTTCTTTCATTATCTACCTCAGATCCATCAATATTCTGATCACTAAAGTGTGATAAATGGAAAGCTTGGGCTTGGTCTGTAGAAAATTAGTGCTGGTTCTGCTGTTTGCTGTAGGGAATTTCTTGCTTGGTGCTGGTATCTGAAATTTTCTTTTAATTTTTTCTGTCTCATTTACTGCTCTTCCCTTGGAGAAGAAGGGGTACACACGGAGGAACTGGACAGTGAACTAGGTAAATCATCCATCTCTCGTTTTGCTGTTTGACTTCAACTGCACTGTTTTAAGCATTTAATTACTTACTTTCTCCTTTGTATCATTTTGCATCTTTCAGTTTTTTGTTTCAACAAGCTTAATTTATCAGCAAAACTTCCCTAGCGCATAAAGCATTCATCTTCCCCTAGCTTCAGATCTGCAGTGTTTTTCTTACGGATTCAGAGCCTGAAGAAAGCTGGAGGGCCTTAATCTTGCAAAGTTTGTTTAAAGTTGCTTCCTCCGAGACCCTGCAGAAGTCAGGGGCTTTTCCATTGGCATCACTCGCACCAGGAGAAAGCTTATAGATGCCAAAGTTGAAATCAAGTAGCTAATGATGCTTTTTCACTGGGGCCAAAGACATTTTCCAGACAAGAGAAGCAAAGTGTGATTTAGAAAGTTTAGGTATTCCATAGGATGCTTCTGCTGAGCTTGTGAATGAAATAGGTGAAAATTTTGCCTCAGTAAGTGATTTTATAAACAGCTTATTTTCAATGATGTGGTACACTTCTGTTTGCTGCATCTTTTTGCGAAGAATGCTGTCTTGATATCTAATCTCAGCAGTGCTCATTGTTTATACTGATGGTGGAGGTAGTTGTTATTTCTGTTCAGCTATGCTCTAGTGCACTTGGAAAGCTGAAAGGCATAGGAGGTTGCATAGGATTTTATTTCCACTAGGTCTATTACAGCTTTTAGAAAGGACTGTATTTACAGTTTATAGTTGTGCATACTGGAGGATTGTGTTACCAGAAAATTAACCTCTGGTTTCTGTAATGACTTGCAAGTGTATTCTGCTTCCTGCTTCCGTGTGATTGATACAGCACCAGCAGCCAGCAGCTATTGAGTGGACTTCCAACGCTACTCCAGGAACTGTTCTTCTGGGTAATAATGCCTGGAATAATGTTGGAGGCCTAATTTCTTTTACTGCAAGAATTTGAAAGAGATGACAATTTAAAGAAGAATGCAGTCCCTTTAGTGGTACATTAGCATTACGTGCAGCTCACACAAATAATGCACAGCAGACCAAGTAACACCAGAAGTAGGTGGATGCACACCAACAGCCTACAAAGATTTCTCACAGACGTCTTCACAAAGGGTGACTTAAAATAAAGAGAGAAGTTAAAAAAAAGAGCAAATATAGAGGCAGTAATGAAATGGAAATGTTCCCTTCTTTCAGTCTGATATCAGAATCCAGTGAGCTGAAAAAATAGATGCAAGGAAACTCATTAATTGATAAGCCTGACCCCAGTTCTGCAGGCTTTTACATACACAAGTGTTTTGCTCAAACATCACGAGATACATTCCCTTTGTTTTGCTGCAGATAAGCTTTCCTGAGTTTACAGCCCATCGATATACTGTTAAGATTTGTAAATGTTGCTGTGTAAAGAAAGACGTTTCCAAACGGCTCGGTTACAGCAACATTGGGGAGGGGCATGAAAACATGGGGCCTGTTTGCTAACTGTCCTCGTGGTCAGTGTAAACTGGTTGGCACCAGATACTTAGCTTCTTAGCTTATCAACAGGTTCTCCTCTAAATATGAGAAAATTAAAACTTGAAGCTTGGCACAACAACTTGTTTTCCAAAGAGGTGGGTTGAATATGGAGTAATAGGTCACCTCTTTTTAACAGAATGTTGTACAGAAGGACACAAAAATTTAACCTTTAGAGTGGAATTGGACATGCACTTGGGCAGATCCTCCTGGCCTCACAGGGTGCAGCAAGAGCTGAGTATGCTGAGGTCATCTCCAGCTCCTTTATAGTGATGCATGGGTGCAAAATACCTAGTGGTTGGAGAAGTTCTTTTTTAGGAATCCAATCATCCCCTTTGTAAGGTAGGATACTAAACAGGAGCATCCCAGTAGGAATCCATGTATTTACCCCAGGCTTAAAAGTATAAAATTGAATATTTGTCCGTTGAATTTACCTGCTGACAAATGCTTTGAGACTGCAGAGTGCTATTTTGGATGTACCAAAATAAAAACCGTATGCCTCACTCAGGCTTCCGACGATGCAAAATGTTTTTGGAAATCTCGTATTTGCGATAAAATCTAATGCTCTGGGTCATCTTCAGTTTGTCAGGAGAGGTAGAGAAGGGAGATGAATAATTTAAAGCCACTAAGAAGCTAGACTCTGCAACATGGCTGTGGAGAATATTGCCTTTTGCTTTAGAGAACTTTCAGTGGGTTTAGAAGTTGGAAAGCTCATCTATGTAATCGACAAGTAATGTTTTGAAAGCTGCAGTTTTGTGTATTGTTACTTGTGAAAACATAGAGATATGCTCCCTAAATGGAAAGCTGCAGAAATAGAAAACTGGAAAGATTTTGGCACAGTATATTTCTGAGGTTAGGAAAGTGCTGGTTTTCTGACCTTCTGTGAAGATTCTTTAAAATAAGAGAAAAAAAATGAAATTTACTACCAAAACCTTTTGTGAACAGAAGAAAAACAAACAAATTTTTATTTAAACTTTAAAAATAAAAAATACTGAAGAGTCCAAAATAGACATAAGACATTTAGCAGGAAAAAGTTGCGGTAAAGTCATTTTAAGGCATTTGTGCGTTACTTCTCCCCTCCCTCATTCGTTTTTTATTTTTCTTCCACCCCGGCTTGGTCTCTTTCACTGTAGCGCAACGAATTAAATGGCTGCCCCAACTTGTGATTTCCCTGATTGCGTCCTAGGTCTTAATTTAATTGCACTGAAACTCTTTAAGCCAGTCACACAGTGTTTTCACCGTATGGGACACTTTTTTGCAAACCTGAGAGTTCCCTTTGCAAAAAGACTTTCAAGACTGGCCTCTAGCTTTCTAACTTTTTCTCACATATGCTTGCACGGTGTAAAGGATTATCTGTTTCTGAAGCGTTCGTTTCAGATCAGTCTGCTGATAAAATTGTGGAGTATTTTCATGCCCAAAAGTTAGCACTGGCTTGCATTTAATCGCTTATGTCTCAAGGAATCCAAAGATGTTAAACCCAATAAGGATAAAACAAGAATGAAAAACCTACCTTATATCTGTAATAAAGGAGATCTAGAGCAAAAACCATGAAAATCGATTTAATCTGATCTTCAGCCAATTCTGAACACAAACATAAACTTTGAGTAATTAGTCCATGTGTGTTTTTATAGATTCTGTTCGTCTCCAGTCTGGAGATATTTCTATCCTTATGGCAACATAGTTGAAGTCTATAAATACAGAACTAGATAGTTGCATTTATTCTAATTAATGGACCATTGTTGATTGTATTGGCTCAGCAATTGATGCCGTTAATAAAAAGAAATCTTCGCATTTGATAATAAACAAACATAGATTATTTGCTATCAGTCTTGTCAATTTAGTGATTAATATTGAGGAATTATTTTGCATGGGGTATTTGAACTTGTGTTATCTGACAGTGGCTTTTTTTTTTTTCCCCTTAAGTGAATGTGCAGTCTGTAGAACCATACTTGCACAGTCCATAGTGTGGTGGAGCCTTCTTTTGAGTTGATTCACAGTATTACACAAACACACCACTCTGTATTGTTAATAGCATGATTATTTTGGTACGCACAGCCAATGGGAACATTGTGTTTAAATGAGAGGGACAAGGATCAGGCCCTTAAGTAATACATACCGCTTTAATAACCCCCAGTTGGATGCTGAAGTGATTTTATTATGTTTACTAATTATAGTTACAGTACTACATGCAGTCTAGAAAATCAACAGGAACAAAAGCGGATACACTTCCAAATGTTAATTTTATCTTCAGAATTGTTTTTTCTTAATTATGCTAATTAAAAAAGGAAATCTCTGTTACATGTGGTTACAGCAATGTGTGTTTTTACATTAAGTGCTATGCAGTGAAATACATCTGTGTGTGCCAGCCCCACTTGGGTGGATTCTGTATGCCCGGCGTTTACGTTAAATTCACTTTGTCCTGTTTCAAGATGGGCTTTTGTGTTGGGCTCATGGTTGAGCAATGCAGTGTAAATCCCTAAGAAAGGAGTAAAAACCCCCTCTTTTCAGCAGTGGTGAGCATAAATGGCTCGGCCCCGGTACAGGAGATGAGCGTGGTCCCTCTGTTAGAGTGCTACAATTGCTTGCCGTAATCTTGCCCATATTCATAGTCTGGCACTTAAATGGCTTTGGCCTGTTGCCTGCCTTGACTTCCACTGCAGTGCTGCATCCAGGGCCACTCTGCCCATGGTGGTGAAACCAGGAAGGTACCTGAGGTACTCCCAGAAAGGAAATTTATTAATCATTTGTTCGTAAATCCAAAATCAACTGGCATGGGCATCTTCCCACTGATTTGATAACCCTCACAGGACAGGGTATGACGTTGGTGCTATGCTATGCCAGCCTTTAAAAGGACGCTGTGGTTGTTCTGAAAAGTGTTCAAAGCAAAGTCTGAGCTATTGATGAGTTTTGCACGGCGAGCAGAAGCATCTCCCTGTCAGAAAAAAAATGCATTGGAGTCTTCAGTAATGCTTTTTCTGTTTCCAGAGTTGCCCGCTGGTTGGGAGAAAATTGAGGATCCCGTATATGGTGTCTACTATGTAGAGTAAGTGCTGCTCTCCTTTTCTGGTGTGGCTGTCGGGTGGAGGAAGGCTTTCCTCCGCAGCAGTCTGTCTGCTTTGTTGGTAGCCTCTCATACCGAGGAGGAGGAGGAAACCCTGGCCCCTTACAGGCTTCAGGGTTGCTATAGGGGCTGGGAGGGGGCAGCCGTGCCTTGCCATTCCCCATCCTCTGGTGGGCTCTGGCAGCAGCACCCTGGGGTGGGGGTGGGCTCAGATGAGACAGAAGCACCCTGGGAGGGGGTTGAGCTCCAGGGGTGAGCTCAAGCAAGACAGGAGCACCCTAGGATTGGGGCGTGCTGGAGCCCCAGCACCTCAGGAAGTACTTTTATCCAGAGAACATTAACAATTGTGCAATTAATGAGCTCAATCCCCTTCGTACAGTGCTATGATCACAATACCAGTGTGCAAAGCAGACTGCTGGTTCAGTTACAAGTCAGAAGAAGCTCAGAAGGAGGAATGAACAAGCCTGTGTGACCAAACAGCCATGGCAGGGGTTCTTGCGTCAAGCTCTGTTGTTGTGAATAGAATTACAGGTTTAATGGGACTTTCTTGCATCAAGCTCTGTTGTTGTGAATAGAATTACAGGTTTAATGGGACTCTCTCTAGAATTAGAACAGCTTCTTCTTTATCTAGATGTCAGATCACTCCCTTGGGAAACCAGAGATTTGAGTTTTGTTTCATCACTGACCCCATAAAATGAATTTTTAATTATGTGTATACTCCTGTCTAGTAGGATGGCTTATGATAGCCCTCAGAATAGACATGGTATACAGTTTCTGTCTGCTTTGGCTCATTTCTGACCCTACCATCTGTGCCTAGGGAAACAAGGTTAGCAAACTGTGTAATTAAGGCTTGACATTTATTTACCGAAGACATCAAGAATATTTTTCGGCTATTAAATGCCATGCCAAGAGGTCTTTACAGCATTTTTTCCTGTCACTTTATATATACATGCCCATTAGTTTTGTGGTACTCCTTAGTGATGAAATTAAATAGAAAAGTAACAGCAATGAGACATAAGTTTGTTTTACTTACTATCAATAAGCTAGCAAGATGGTTATAATTTGAGCATTTGCCTTTTTCCCTTCCAATTCAGGCACTCTATTCTTGCATAATAGATTTTATTGAGAAACAACTATATCATCAAAAAGTTTATATCATTTTTAAAGTAGTTATCATTTTTTCTTTCTGAAGATATCTTGAAATGGGAAATTTTTACAGAATTCATTAACTTGTTTTTATTTGATTAGTTAATTTTTTTCCAGTGATTTAATGTTGATCTTAGCAGAAGAAATTCTGAACATCACTCTTTAGAGTGCTTCTATCATAATTACTTGAAAAAGTGGTTGTTTTTTCATGCAGGGCAGGGGTTGATAAAGACGTGTGAGATAGGTGACAATAAAATAGCAAGTTCTTCATGGTATACTTCGCTTTGGATACAAAGATGGGCTTTAAGCTAATATAATTTTCTAAGGTCTACTTGCCTCTTTGCTGTAGCAAAATCACTATTGAAAAATTACTCATGAGCAGCTCATCTCAGCTGCAGCCGTCAGCTGCAGAGAGTCCCCAGACGTGCCCCCACTGCCCTGGCATCTGTGACTGGTGTTTGTCATTTGGTTTCATAAAATGGTTAATCCTCCGCGGAGTGCGTTGCTTGTCTGCCATGTTTGGGGCTGGGCTGCTCTTTTTTTCCTTTTCCTGAGACTGGTAAGAAGGATTGGCTCTAAACATCTCATACGGGTCAAAAGCTGCCTAGTGGCTCTCCACGGAGGACAGCTGAAGTTTCACCAAGGGCTGGTTTCCGCTGGGAGTATTTGCTGGTGGCTGATTCTGAATATATTTTGCTCAGTTTGGAGCCCAGCTTTTCAGCTCATAGCCTACATCCCTGCAGATATTTTTAAGACAGCCTGTTAATAGTGTGCATGGGTGAGATAGCTGACGGATGTTACCAGTTGTTGGATTTTGTTTCAGATTTTAACTTCAGTGAGCCAGGGAATAACTGCACCTCTAGGATTCTGGTGAAAGCAGGGATGATATACACCTGTCCTTTAAAATACAATCAGACAGAGCGCCTTTTCTGCTTTAATCTCATTTTGCACAGATAGATCACTAGTTTAATACATTTGAAGGAATTAGCCATTCCTACTCAAGACATCATATCAGTACGGGAATCCACTTGTCTTCCTAAATATGCTTTTTGGCACGACTAGGTGAGCCACTGCTGTTGGGTTTGTTTGGGATTTTACTCTTTTCCTCAGAGGAGTTCCATGCCTGGCCGTCATTCCTGTTTTTTTTTCCTATTTTGTTGCTCTCTTTTCATCCCCAGCCACATCAACCGGAAAACACAGTATGAAAACCCAGTTCTTGAAGCAAAGAGGAAGAAACAGCTTGAGCAACAGCAACAGCCACCAGAAGGTTGGCACCACTGAGGGTGTGATGGTTGGGATTTTCGTGAGGGAACGTGACCTCCCTTGCCTTGGCAGCACCGTGCCAATGTGTTTGTCCTTCCTTCTGTGGCCTTAGCGTTTAAAGGCAAAATGACGTGCACAGGAAAGATTGTGTATGACCTTCACGTAAGATGCAGCAAAGGAGAAAATCTAAACTGTATAGCCACTTAAACATAGTAGCTTTCACCCATGTTAAAGGGGAGGGATTTTTCTTTTTTAATGTCCTTTATTTCTGGAAAGTTTCTAGGCTTTACAAATTAAAACACACATTTTCCTCTTTAATCTGCTCCATCAAGTCACTCACTGTACCTGGTGTTGTTCCAGTCTGCATTGGGACTCACAGGGGATGAGTGGGCATTTACATGTGCACCAGAGAACCCCCTCTGCATGAGAGACTTCTTAACCACAGACCTTAGGATGTGTCAAGCTCTAACATCTGAAGTGATTTCATTATTTTAAAACACTTTTTCCCCCCTTTTTTTTCTTTTTTTTTTTTTTTTTTCTTTTTTTTCTTTAAATGCAGCCCAACTGCAGTGAGGGGCCTGTGGCATTTGGGTGTGTTTTGGTGCCTTCGTGGCTTTCACACCATTTCACAACAGTTATTATCCAAGGGGAAAATAACTTAGGCTTCAGCATTCCTCCTGCAGCCCCATTTCCTGCAACACCAGCTCTTCTACTTAGATGCCATGAGTGCCACAGGGAATAGATTTCATATAAATGTGGAGACCACTTAGGTGCAAATCGAGTCCCAAGTTTGAGTGTGAGGTATGGTGTCCCAGCAGGCAGATCAGTTGACTTGGATATAGAGGGTTCTCTAGATCTGGTTTTTGGACATCCCATTCATTTTATTCTCTCTCTCCGTGACACTGTTTCCTCTCTTGCCATGCTTCTCACATCTCCTCCGCTTGAGCCCCACACTCCAGTGTGTGTATGTGCAGGAGCTCTTCGTGCTGCTGTGAAACAAGTAACGTTTCCCTCTCTGCCCTCTCTAGAATGGACAGAGGAGTGTCCATCTCTCCCACCACCCGCTGCTCCAAACCATGTTTCAAACAACCAAGAGGCAGCTCGGGAAGCACCAGTGCAAGGTAACGACCTTGTTAAACCAGTTGTAAAAGTGCAACAAGGTTTTTTTCCTGAGTGTGAAATTCCCTCAGCCACCAGCAAAGGGAGTATCTCCACGACTAGTGTCACGCACCAGGGCATGTGCGTGCTTATCTGGATTCCCATAGATTTTGAGACTAGTTGTTTCAAGACCACATTTGTTGACAAATGCAAGAGGCAAATGACATCACCTGCATCAAAAATGGATTGTAGCTATTCTCTGTGTAGCATTCAAATCTTTAAAAGACATGGTGAAAACATGAGTTACAACATCGGTGGGATTTAACGGCAACTGCAGTGGATGCAAGTGCAAGTAGGAGGAGACCGTTTTCAACAGAGCTGTGTGGATATGCAAGGTTTAGGCTTTTATACCTTCTAAACTCTACTGGGTTTAGAATGTCACTCTTATAATAAGATCTGGTGCAGAGATTTCTTTCGGTACTCGTACATCAACATTCCCTCCCGAAAAGCTGCACAAAATCTCACCATGTTGTGCTGTGATTAAGACACGGACATGGTCATGTTTTAGTTTGAGAGCCAGAGCCAATGTCACCCGACGTGTGCATTAGTGGACAGGTAGAGTTTCAAGTTAAAGTACTTTAAGAGCTCTGGAAACTGGTCGGTGTATTTGGGAGCTGTGATGTGTATAGGTTGCCGGCACTGTTTGGCAGGACCTTGGTTTTGGGGACCTTGGGTGTCTTGGTTGCAATTGTGACAACTGAGCAGCCAGGTTCTGTTAATGCCATGGATTAGTCTGGCTGGCAACTTCATGGATTTTCCTTTTTTGCATGCTTTGAATCCAAATGGAAATCTGGGGATGGGGAGGGGGTAGGAGCTGGGGTGAACACCAGAAGAGGGAGATCCTCTGCCGTTTGGAGAGCTTTGCAGAGCTACTAGGCCTCCATGCCAAATTTGACTTTCTGTAGTAACAGAGGGCAAAGAGGCACTAGGGCTTTGGCAAACATCATGTTTCTGAAAAATCAGAGTCGAAGCTCCTCTGGGAAGCTCTGCACGAGGAGGGAATAATAATAGGTCCAAGTACTGCAGACCTACTTTGATGTTGTATGTGTACAAGTACTTTGGGCTATTACAGCCTTATTTGTTAGTGTTAATGGTCTGTATATAGCCAACTGCTCACAGACCAGTCACTTGTCTTAAATCACTAACCAGACAGGACATGAATCATTCCTGAATTTGCAGCATGAGCTGAAACATTGCCAGGTTCAGGTTGCCAGCAAGGGCACAGAGTTCCACTTGTACCTGTTGCAGTACAAGTGCTCTCTGGTTACAAGTGGTTATAAGTAGGCTTCATCTTCGGCTACATCTAAATTGCACAGCAAGCAAATGGCATTGCCATAATCTGCAGGAACCAGAGGCTGGGGAAGGTGAGAGAGGGGGCGTCTGGCTGGAGGATGTCATCCTGACAGAGCTGGGAGCAGCCCAGGGGAGGGCTGCCCCCAGGAGCTGGGAATGCAGGTCAGCCGTGGTCTGTGAAGGCGAACCCAGTGTGGTGCCCCAGCCACCTTTCCCTGCCGTGAAGAGCCAGGGAGTGCTCTCTGCTGCAGGTGGCAGCAGATCAGCCCTTCCAGAACAGATACGTGAAATTTAACAGTATCCAAAGCCCCCAGCGCATTCCTGAGGGGTGTTAGAGTACATTAGAGTAATCGAGACTTGCAGCGAGGAAAAATGCAGGAGATCTGGGGATGGTACCCTGACCATCAGGCATCTGGAGTTAGGCATGGCATCAGAGTGCCCCCAAAATCCTTGTCTTCCTCGGGGAGACATCTGTGAATGCCACCTCTGCCTTTTACGCTGTCAGGCTGAAGCGAGGGCTGCCCAAGCATCCATGCACAGCAATGCAAAGGACTCGTCGTGCAGGGGATGGCATTAGGAGCCTCACTCAGCTCTCGACTCACTCCTGACTGCCAGCCACTGAAATTGTGCAGCAACATTACAGGAGAGCATTAGCCTGTCTCAGCACCACTCTGAGTGACACGTCCTGGTACCCGCTGACGACTCCTTCTCTCTTTCATTCCTTCCTCTTCCTTTCTCAGCACTGCTCCCTCTTCTCTTGCTCCCCATTTGCAGCAGCTATTTGCAGCTTCCCTGTCTCCCTGCCCTGCACCCAGGGGTTTCCATCTCTTCCACTGATGGCACTGCTGGTGGGGGCATGGGCACAAGGACCTCTCCTTGTGGCCCTGGCACCGCTCTCCCATCTGGCATTTTATAGATACACTCATTTAAAATGTGATCCCCTCCCAAATTCTGTAGGTGGGACGTAGCCTATGGTGCTGCTACCCTGTTACTGCAGGGCAGGTTCGCCCTGTACCTGTAGGCAGACGCCAGCAATCTGTGCTGGTTCTGCTTCTCTTTGAACCAGAAATCAGCACAGGACCAAGCCCCGCTGCACGTTGCCCCTCAGCTCTGTTTGTTGCCTGAGACGTTGGGTTGCACTTTGATAGTCATTTCTTGTTTGCAGCTTGGGGTCTGAGCAGTACATCTGCCCACGACGTGCAGGAATACCGTGTTCCTGTGCTAACTTTCAAAGGTGGAAGGCTGCAAGTCCTCATACTGCCCCCTCATGAATAATCTTCAAATATACTTCCCCTCCCCAATCAAAGGCTTACGAGTCTCAAATCCCCTCACTCTCCCTCAAGGTCTCCTTTCTGAACAGAGGCCCATGGCGATGCTGCGGAGGTTTTTGAAAGTACGCCAGCTCCCCTGGCTGCGATATGCACTGCTGATCCCAGAGCTGTCACCAGAGGGCTTAGTGGCACAGTCTTTTCCCCTCCAAGCATTAAGAAAAATTAAAAGTCCAAAGGTGTTTAGTGTTGGCACTGTGAAGTACAGCAACCATGATTCCTTTTCTAAGCCTGTGCAACATGCATTGCAAGGATATGCTTTTGTCTTTGGAGCCCCTCATTCCCTCTTAACCATGCTCCCAGAGAGCATTAACGGCCCTCCAGCACAGCCGCTCTGGTCCTGGGCCGCTCTTTGATCCATACTTCACAACAGCAGTGTTTCATCCACAACAAGCAAGGAGCAGATAAGAGCAAAGACTTCAAACAGTGTCTGAAGAGCAACATCAGCGTCCTCCCCTTTTTCCCTGGCGGGAGGTCACAGGGTGGTAGCAATGGTGGGGCGGGGGCGGTTGTGCTAAAGGGTTATGCAGTGTCTTGCCAGAGCTCAGAAGTTGCTTTTTTGCTCGGTGGGTTGGGAGAAGGCCAAGTGGTGAAAAACATAACGATACTCCTTTCTGCAGAAGCTCCCGCTGCAGACTCCTTCTGTAGGAGGCATTTGTACTGCCCCTGTCCCGTCCTTCCTGGGATGGATATAACCACCTCAGGACGGAGATAAGACGTGTATCTAAGCCAGCATTGCCAGCTTTAATGTATCCCATTCTTTAAAGCAGCATGTTTTCCCCTTTGTAGCCTTGGGGCTTTGGTGTGCACAACCACAGCTAACAAAGCGCCAGGTACTAGGGTTTTTGCTCACTCCTTTTACTGCGTGATTAGATCCGAGGAGACGGGTGGAGTGCGATGAGGTGAGAGGATGCTGGAGAGAAGTGCAGCCCCATCCCAGCACACCGCTGTGTTTGTCTGTGTACTTGTTAGAATGGGGAGGGGCAAAGGAAAAACAGATCAAACGCCCTTGCCTGCCTGTTTATAGCTTTTTCCAAACTTCCTACACAGGAAAACCTTTTTTTACACGAAACCCGTCTGAGTTGAAAGGGAAGTTCATCCACACCAAGCTAAGGAAAAGCAGCAGGGGTTTTGGCTTCACTGTCGTTGGAGGGGATGAGCCAGATGAATTTCTCCAAATCAAAAGTTTGGTGCTTGATGGCCCCGCGGCGCTGGATGGCAAAATGGAGACAGGTACTGATGCTTTGCATCAAAATCACCACCACCACTTTGGTTTGTGTTTTTACAGCTGGTTTTATGTGCAATTCATAAAGGACTGTAGTCCTCATCCGCTTTTTGGGGAAAGGCATTCAGCTTTCCTATTAGCAAGCAGGGAAGTGAGATACATTGAGGGATATGTTCAAAATCTTGTAGCAAGGCACTTCATGTGCTGGAATTTCACCTCAGGTGTCAAAATATCCAGCTGGGGCTCTGCCAGCTCCTGCTCTCCCCATGCTGACCTGCAGAGAGGAGCCAGCAGTTGTGGGGTCCCGCATCAGGCTGTGGGTTACTGCTCCCTGCTGTGGCGTATTTTTGTAGGGCTGCATCACTGCGTGTTTGTGTATCTGCTGTAGCACTCACCTCATCTCCCAAGCTACTCCCAGGGAATGAGTGGAGGAGTGGGCTAGTTTGCATTTCCCTCTTTGGAGGTGCCAAAGGCCAATTAGTTTTGCCAGAGATCAGGCCCAGCATGTTGAAATTCTGTTAGGATTCACCTGAGGTCACAACTCCTCACTTGCAGGTGGAGCATCACAACATTAAACATCCCTGTGTTGCAGCCCCCAGTGTTAAAAAATGAATCATAACGTAATCAATACTTAGATTTCAGGCCGAAGTATGTCTGAGACATGACACATGGCACTGTATTTGAGCAGTTGGTATTTGAGAGCCTTCTGTAACAGCTCTCGTGCTCTCAGTTTTGTTTCTATCATATGTCAGCGTAGCACAGTGTGTAACAGTGAGAGCTGGGCTTCGAAATAACTGTTAAACGGGCCATATACCGTCATTTGAATTCATTAATTTTTTTCATGGGCCAATTCCAGTTTCACTTTCAAAAGTGTTTATGTACATAAAAGCTTTATGCAGTGAATCCATTGTGTACACATAGTTCTTGCTTGCCCGAGTGTCACCGCTCCTTTTCCTTGCTACTATTTACCTGTGAGTGGTACCTGTGGATACTGCAGATCAGCTTGCAAGCTTTAGTCCTCACCTTCCCAGGGTGAAATAAAGTATATATTTGGTATATCTGTCTGTGTCCTTTGCAGGGGACGTCATAGTCAGCGTGAACGATACCTGCGTGCTGGGGCACACTCACGCTCAAGTTGTGAAAATCTTCCAGTCCATCCCCATCGGTGCCAGCGTAGACCTCGAACTGTGCCGAGGCTACCCCTTGCCCTTCGATCCCGATGATCCCAACACGAGCCTGGTTACATCCGTGGCAATTTTGGACAAAGAGCCCATCATTGTGAACGGGCAGGAAAATTACGACTCCCCGGCGAGCCACAGTAGTAAAACAGGGAAAGTAAATGGCACAAAGGAAGCAAGACCCAGCAGCCCAGCTGAGGTCTCTTCCAATGGACCCCATGGTTACCCCAATGACACAGTCTCTTTGGCATCTTCGATAGCAACGCAACCTGAACTCATAACTGTGCATATAGTGAAAGGGCCTATGGGCTTTGGGTTTACTATAGCAGACAGTCCTGGTGGAGGCGGCCAAAGAGTGAAACAAATCGTGGACAGCCCGCGGTGCCGCGGCCTGAAGGAGGGCGACCTTATAGTTGAAGTCAACAAGAAGAATGTGCAGAGCCTCACTCACAACCAGGTGGTGGATATGCTGATTGAATGTCCTAAGGGAAGCGAAGTCACGTTGCTGGTGCAGCGAGGAGGTAAGTTTTCAAAACTCCTTTAAAACGTTTCTTCTTGAAAGTTAAAAAAAATGCATGTCATGAAAGACCTGCTCTCCTAAGCTTCTCTGTAGAAAAGGTTTATGTCTTAAGGTGCAGGAGCTGCCCCAAGTTGGCTGTTGTCAGGTAACATAGATGATTTGATGCTGCACTGGGGGGAACGTGCATGTAGTTCCCATGCGCGCGTACACTACACACGTCTTCCCATAATGCAGAAAAGGGTGGTTACACGTATGTTTACATCTTTACTTACATAACAAACCTTGATCTCATGTTCATAAAACTTAATTATTTTGAATACAAAATGGACATTTCTTGAGCTGTTTTGGGAGATGGAAGAGGCTGTAATTTACAGTGTTCAAAATCAGATATCCCTTGACTCTTCATTGTGGAAGGGTTACATCTGGGATACAGTTGGGAGTGGAGGAAAGAATTTAAACTTCTCCAAGTTGTAAGCAATTGAAATGTTACTTCTGGACATGTCTGTCTGCTGTGCAAACGGGAGCTGAGCTCATTTTGGTTGCCTTGCTCAGAGGCCACCAACAGGTACAAAGAACACCCTACAGGCAGCGTGTCTGTGGCTCACGTGTGAGCATGGGTG